AAATATGGCCTTGATGATAGAAAGGATGCCAGAGATCGCAGGATAGAAATTTGCAAGACCAATGACCTATTCATTGCAAATACCTTTTTTCAACAATATAAACAGTAACTATACACGTGGACCTTGCCGATGGAATATGCAGGAATCAAAATGACTACATCTGTGGAAAGAGATGATGGAGAAGCTCAATATCATTAGTCAGAACAAGACCATGGGCTGACTACGGAACAGACCATCAATTGCTCATATGCAAGTTCAAGTTGAAGCTGAAGAAAATTAAAGCAAGTCCATGAGAGACAAACTACTACCTTGAGTATATCACACCTGAATTTAGAGACCATCTCAACAATAGATTTGATGCATTAAACATTTAATGACCAAAGAAGACCAGATGAGTTGTGGGATGACCTCAAGGACATCATACATGAAGAAAGTAAAAGGTCATTAAAAAGACAGGGAAGAAAGAAAATACCAAAATGGATGTTAGAAGAGACAAGACTCTGAAACTTGCCCTTGAATGCAGAGTACCTAAAACAAATGGAAGAAATGATGAAGTAAAAGAGCTGAACAGAAGATTTCAAAGGGTGGTTTGAGAAGACAAAGTAAAGTATTGTAAGGAAATGTGCAAAGACCTGGAGTTAGAAAACCAAAAGGGAAGAACACGCTCAGTATTTCTCAAGCTGAAAGAACTGGAGAAAAAATTCAAGCCTCAAGTTGCAATATTAAAGGATTCTATGGGCAAAATATTGAATGACGAAGGAAGCATCAAGAGAAGATGGAGGGAATACACAGAGCTACTGTACCAAACAGAATTGGTTGATGTTCAGCCATTTCAGGAGGTAGCATATGATCAAGAACTGATGGTACTGAAGGAAGAAGTTTAAGCTGCACTGAAGGCATTTTTGAAGAACAAGTTTCCAGGAATTGACAGAATACCAATTGAGATGTTTCAACAAACGGATGCAGCGCCAAAAGAGCTCACTCGTTTACACCAAGAAATTTGGAAGACAGCTACTTGGCTAACTGACCAGAAGAAATCCGTATCTGTGCCCATTCCAAAGAAAGGTGATCCAACAGAATGGGGGAATTATCAAACAATATCACTACCATCACATGAAAGTAAAATTTTGCTGAAGATCATTCAAAAATGGTTGCAGCAGTACACTGACAGGGAACTGCCCAAATTTCAAGTCGAATTCAGAAGAGGATGTGGAACAAGGGATATCATTGATGATGTCAGATGGATCTTGGCTGAAAGCAGAGAATACCAGAAAGATGTTTACCTTTGTTTTATTGACTGTGCAAAGGCATTCAACTGTGTGGATCATAACAAATTACGGATAACATTGAGAAGAATGGGAACTTCAGAACACTTAATTGTGCTCATGCAGAACCTGATACAGACCCAGAAGCAGTCGTTTGAACAGAACAAGGGGATACTGTGTAGTTTAAAATCAGGAAAGGTGTGCATCCTTTCACTAAATTTATTTCAATCTGTTTGCTAAGCAAATAATCCGAGAAACTGGGCTATATGAAGAAGAATGGGGCGTCAGGATTGGAGGACGACTCAACAACCCGCAGACGATATGCAGATAACACAACCTTGCTTGCTGAAAGGCAAGTAGACTTAAGCACCTATTGATGAAGATCAAAGACCACAGTCTTCAGCATGGATTACACCTCAACATAAAGAAAACAAAAATCCTCACAACTGGACCAATAAGCAACATCATGATAAATGGAGAAAAGATTGAAGTTTGAAGATTTCATTTTACTTGGATCCACAATCAACACCCATTGAAGAAGCAGTCAAGAAATCAAAGGACGTATTGCATTGGGCAAATCGGCTGCAAAAGACCTCTTGAAAGTGTTAGAAAGCAAAGATGTTACCTGAAGACTAAGGTGCACCTGACCCAAGCCATGGTATTTTCAATCACCTCCTATGCATGCAAAAGCTGGACAATGAATAAGGAAGACTAAAGAAAAGTTGATGCCTTTGAATTACGGTGTTGGTGAAGAATGTTGAACATACCATGGACAGCCAGAAAAGGAATAAACCTAAGAAGAAGTACAGCCAGAATGCTCCTTAGAAGCAAGGATGGCGAGACTTCATCTCAAGTACTTTGGACATGTTATCAGGAGGAGCCAGTCCCTGGAGAAGGACATCATGCTTGGTAAGATAGGTCAGCAAAAAAGAGGGAAGACCCTCAATAAGATGGGTTGACACAGTGGCTGCAGCAATAGGCTCATCCATAGCAATTATTGTGAGGATGGCACGGACCAGGTGGTGTTTCGTTCTGTTGTACAAGTTGGAACTGACTTGACAGCACCCAATAACAACAGCAAAAATCATGTCTGTTCTATTCCCTGTAATGTGCTTGATTAAATGATGCCTTTGGTCACTAGTAGGCTGGTATTTAGTGCCTTCACTTCCGCAACAAGATCTGCCAAATTTATAAGTACATTTGGAAAGTATTTTGATATTCTTGCAGAGGAGTGATTTACTGTGTAAATGCAATTCCTGTTCATTTGTAGCATATTGCTGAGATCTTGTCCATCCTCAGGTCTAATCAAGTCACTTTTACCTTTCTCTTTCTTAACTTGTGTTATTTTTTGTTTAAATTGTACTTTCGATAAAGGTTTACAGGGCAAACTAGCTTCTCTTTAAATAATTAATATACATATTGTTTTGTGATATTGGTTGCCGACCCCACAATGTGTCAACACTCTCCCCTTCTCGACCTTGGATTCCCCATTACCAAATTTCCTGTCCCCTTCTGCCTTCTCGTCCTTGCCCCCGGGGCTGGTATACACATTTATTTAGTCTCATTTTGTTTTATGGGCCTGTCTAATCTTTGGCTGAAGGGTGAACCTCAAGAGTGACTTCAGTACTGAGTTAAAAGGGTATCTGGGGGCCATACTCTCAGGGTTTCTCCAGTCCCTGTCAGACCAGTAACTCTGGTCTTTTTTTGTGAGTTAGAATTTTGTTCTACATTTTTCTCCAGCTCTTTTTGGGACCCTGTATTGTGATCCCTATCAAAGCAGTCAGTGGCAGTGGCCGGGCACCATCTAGTTATGCTGGACTCAGTCTGGAGAAGGCTGTGGTAGTTGTGGTCCACTAGTTCTTTGGACTAATCTTTCCCTTGTGTCTTTGGTTTTCTTCATTCTGCCTTGCTCCAGATGGGGTGAGACCACTGGTGTATCTTAGGTGGCTGCTCACAAGCTTTTAAGACCCCAGACGCTACTCACCAAAGTATGTAAAACATTTTCTTTTATAAAACTACGTTATGCCAGTTGAGCTAGATGTTCCCCGAGTAACATCCATCATTTTTTGGTAGCACTTCATCTCCTTACTGGAAAGAACTGAAGGAATAAGGTGGGTAAGTGTAAAGGAAGACTGAAATGGGGAGAGAGGGAAGAAGAGGCAATAGTGGGATGTGAAAGCTCTGGGCTTCCAGTCAAAGCTGGCAACACCTCTGTTCTCTAACCTATGGACTTCTGTGACTCTGTGTATGTCACTTAGTCTTTCTGGGCTTTTTTCCTCATTTACAAAGTTAATGGGGTTATTAGTGATGGAGGTTCATTAGATGACCTCTAAGCGCAGTTCCTCTTTTATATATGTAAGTGATGAGCAAACTATGCCAGCATGCCAAATCCTGCTGCCACCTTTTTTTGCACACCAACGAGGTAGCAATGGTTTTACATTTTTAAATAGTTGAGAAGAAAAGCAAAAGAATAATTTCCTGACATGTGAAAGTTACATGAAATTGAAATTTTCATATAAGTTTTCTTGGAACACAGCCACACTTATTTACATATTCTGTATGGCTGGTTTCATTGCCACACAGATCTTATGGCCTACAAAGCCGAAAATATTTGCTATCTGGACCTTTACAGAACAGTTTGCCTAACCTTGCTCTGTGCATATTTAGCATGCTCGCTTATTCTGGGCTGGTCCATCTTTGACATGAGGTGTGTGCTCATTAGGTATTTTTCAACATGTTGTTATTATCATGTATAACCCCAAAATCGTTCAGCTTCCTAAGAGGAGGGACCCTTTTTTGCTCACCAATGGACCTTCAGTGCCTTATACAATACCTTATACAATGCAGAGGTTCACTGTTTGTTGTCGAATAAACAACACTGCCAAGCCAGTGATTTCCAAACTGCAAAAGGAATTTCTGGGCTAGTACAAACTAAGCTGCCTATTTCAGTAATTTCAAAATCAAAAAATAAAAAATAAAAATCTTTTTTCCTGACCAAAATTCTCCCTGCAATAAAACCTCATTTTAGATATGCGACAAAAAAAAAAAACCTATTAGAATTGTTTCACTTCCTAAATAAAGTATATATTAAAAATAGTAGTAAAATTTAGATGACTTCAGCCTTTTACATCCGTGCGCCACGTTTTAAAAATGAAGATTATTGGATTCCAAGGCAGGGTTGTCAGGAACATTCTGCATAATTTAAGCATAGCCGCAAAAATCGCGAGCGTGAGTGGCGATCAAAATGGGTGTGATAGGAAAAAAAAGTAAATTTTTACATTCTGTGCAGTGTGTTGAACGTGAACGTCTTGCACGTTGTGTTGCAGATTTATTACAGCTGAGTCATTTCGGGATACGAGTGTGTGTGTTTCCAGGAAAAACGAGAGGAAGGAACCAGGCTGAGGGGCTCGCCGGGTTCCCCCAAGCAGCCCCAGCAGCAGACACCGGTATTCCGTAGCGGGCGGCGGCGTGCTCAAAAAGAGGTGCCGCGGCCCCTTTAAGAGGCACAGCACCTTCTCCAAGATACCATCTTGCACCAGGAGTTCACTTGCGCTCTCCACCTACCTTGCTATATCCCTCCTCCTTAACTGGGTACGGCCGGCCGGCGGGGCGAGCGAGCCTTTTCATTGGCGCTGAGCGCACAGCCCTCTCTATTCTATTGGTTAATGTGCTCGGCAGTCGGCGCTATCTCCCGCCTACCTGAGCCATCGGGCTAGCTTGAGCGAGGGCTCTTGGGTTAGTTCCTGTTAGGCCCGGGCCGGGGGAGTAGGTTGAAGTCTCCTAAGATGCCGGGTGGGCTGGGGCACGGGGAGCTGTAAGGGGGGCGTGAGGAGGCAGCGAGGGGAGACCCACGGCAGGCCCGAAGAACAGCGGCTGCCGAACCCGCCCTCCCTGCACCATGCTCATAGAGGATGTGGATGCCCTCAAGTCCTGGCTGGCTAAGTTACTGGAGCCGATGTGAGTGAGGCAGGCTGGGCCGGCCCCGGCGAACGTGGGCGTTGGGGGCCCACGGGAGCGTGCGGGGAGGGGAGGCGGTGGGGGATGCAAAGGGGCCGCGGTCCGGAGGGCCCGGCGACGTCTTCTCTGTAGTACTATCACCATTGTGGGGTGGGGGGGAGGGGTAGGGAGCAGGGACGGAGAGGCGGTGTTGATGAGGGACGGCCGGGGGTGGGGGGCAGGTAGGGATAACGAGGGCTTTTCAAATATAAATATTGGGGCGCTAGAAGGATAGCAGGAATAGTGAGGGGATTTAAAATGTTACTGTTGGAGGACGGAGAGGGATAGATAGTAGAGCTATCGAGGGATTTTCACATGTGACTTGGGATCTTGAAGGGAATAGCAGGATGTTGAGGGCTTTACAAGCAGTATTAATCTGGGACTAAAAGGACTGGAAGGAGAGTATCGAAGGTTTTTAAAAATATTAGAGCAGAAAGGGGTAGCAGGGACACTGAGGCTTTATAGCGATTATTGGTATGCTCTAAGGGTTCAAGAATATTTAACGATTTAAAAAATACGAGGAAGCTGAGAGCTGTGGGCATTGAAGGGTTCTAGAAATTATTGGTGCGCTGATAAGTATGATAACAAAGGTATTGAGAAATTGTAAAGTAGTATTGAGAAGTACTAGTAGAACTCATTAATATGTAAATACCATTGGGGGCTGAGAAGGGATATTGAGGTTTTTGTAAGTTTAATTGGGGGTTGAAAGGGCTATCCTGGTATCCAATATTATCGTTGCATGAGGGACTGAAAGGGGTGTGCCTGTAGCATCTAGGAAATTTTCGACACAGATATTGGAGGAATAAAAGGAGTAGCAGGAAGAGTAAGGGCTTTGTAAATATTGTTAACGATTGAAAGCACAACTGGAAGTATTGGGGTGTAGGATTATTATTGAGGGGCTAAAAGGCATGAGAGGCCTTGTTTTAAAATATTTTGGGTAGTGTTAGTTGTAGAAATATTACTGGGAGACTTGGAAGGAATAGCAGAGGTATCAGCTTTTTGTTTGCTTTATAACCATTCCAAGGGGTAGGGTTCTGGAGTATTGATTTGGGGAACTGGGATGTCGCTGGTCTGGAACAGGTTTCCTAGGTAGTAGGAGAAGGAAGTTTGGAGGGCTGGAGAGGGAAGATGCCTTTAATCCTCTTGGGAAAGAGGCACACTTGGAAAGGGAAAGAGGTTCATTTCCTGCCCCCTCCTCATTTCTGCCTGCATATCCTCCTTGGAGATTGGGTGAAAAAAAAGGGGAGGGGGGTAGAGGAAGAGATGAGCATGCTTTGGTTTATTAGATCAGATCCCTTTAATGGAAAAATGGAGTGTTTTTCAGAGGTGAATGAAGGGGGTAGTTTGGAAGATGTGGAGGCATGGTAAAGTTGGGGCTATTGGGAGACAGTGTGAAGCTACTTCCCTGTTTATTTCCTGGTCCTCCTGAGGAACCTGATTAGCTAACTTGTTTTTGTTTTTTTGCTACTTCGGTTTTTTCGGGTGGACGGTAACACCTAGGGAAAGAGTCATCTGCAGTCCAGTGTGTCAGCCCTTTGAAGGCAGAATGGGTAAGGGAGGCAACTTTAGAGGATGTGGCATTTACATTCTGAGGATAAGGAGTCTGTGAGTAGAGCAGAGGTATGAATAAATGCACACTAAGGGCTTCTGAGCTTTAGATTAACAATGATCTAGTTAAAGTGAAAATGACTTCCGGACACACTTGAGAATTTTGTAGAAGGATGTGGACCTCTTAAGTGTACATCATACTTATTAAAAATTTTGGGGGCACAAAGATAGAGATGGATTGTGGTGAAGGTGAGAAATAGATTTAGTGAAATTGAGCATATATAGAAAAGGTTGAAAATAGAAAAAGGTATGTTTTTAAAATTCTTTACCTGTACGTTATTTAAGATTAGAAAAGAAATCTATTTTGTACACCTGCTGTTCCTGTTGCCTTTTTTTTTTTTAAAACAGTTTTCCATAGAAGCTCTGATTTCATTTGTTGGCAGAGATGCTTTTAAATGTATTAAAGATATATTTTATGTCTTGGGTAGAAGCTAGCAACTTTCAACATTATAGTTACTTGCTTTTTCTTTTTTTTTAGAGCTCCCTAAAATGTTTTACTCTGAGCAGTACTTTTTTTTTTTTTTTTTAATGTTAGAGTTTACTTTAGGAAGTTAAACTTTCTAAGTTATGTTTTCACTTGGCTTTTTTGGCTATTCAGTCTGATAAAATGTTCACAGACGTTCTGTAATTTTCTTGGGTAGAATTAACGTTTATTACTTGAATTTAATTTCTCCATTTGTTTTGAGTTGTATGTTCAACTTACAGCACACGTCATGCTTCTTTTTGCGTTTTACTTTTTTGTTAATTAGGGCTTTTAAAAAAGTGACCTAAATTCTTGAATTACTTAGTGTTTAATAATATACAGTCATGTACCACATACGTCCTTTTGGGCAACGTCCGACTGCCATGTACGTCTGTGGTACCATAAGATTACAGTAGGATTCAGAAATACCGATCAGGGAACAGGACATAACCGGGCATAGTGAATGCAACAGATTCCCACGTGCAACACAAGTATTTCATTTCTTTTGTATACAAAATGATTGCACTGCCAAGTGTATTTAACCTAAAATTTTAATATCATAGACTTTATCACAGTCTGTTCTTAAGTACAAGTTATCCGTAAGTCAGATGTGTGTAACCTGGGGACTGCCTGTAATATGGTGTTCATACAACATCCAAATCACTTAACGTCCTGTTTCACAGAACATATCGTGGATGTTAAGCGACACATGACTGTAATGGTTTTTGATGGAAGTGTTGATAAGAAATCATAAATTCAAATGGAGATGCATATTTTCATTCTTAGTATGTTGTCATGGGAGATTATTTTTTGTTTGTTTAGACATCCTAAAGTGTAATAAATGATATGCTAAAGTGGGATATATTTGTAAATTTACTTTTTGCATATTCCAGATTCAAAAAAATTTTCATAGCAGATTGGCATGTTGTTACAACATAGCATTTCAGAGCAGTTGTTAGACTTTGAGAGAGTGTAATTGCAGTGGCTATGTTGGAATCATACTGTGACTTTGCACACAATTTCCTATTGCATTTTCTTATTTAACTTAACTTACAAATAGTGAAATTTATAAAAGCCTCCAGTATTTAGGAATTTTAAAATGTGTTACATCTTGTCACTGATGAAACAAAGGCATATTATCAGGAGGTATTTCTAAACTAATCCAGTTTACTTGAGATCATTTCCTAGAGACAAGTTAGAAGTGTCATAGTCTATTAGAACTTATCTATTACCTTCCATTCCTTTTGTAGATGTGGAACGTATTTATTACTTTACCAGAGGAAAGGTACAAGGAGAGCACCTGGAAGAAGTGACTCTTTACCTGGCAGGGAAAAATCCAGTACCGCCATTTTTTGTTGGCAGTGCAGTAAGAGGGAGGGAAACCATATCTCAGTCAACAAGTTTTGTGTCTCTCTATCCTGCTGCATGAACAGGCTAGACTCAACAAGATCTTGTTTGGGGGTCTTTGTCTTTCTCTGCCTTCAAATTATCTGTTCATAGAGACTATATGGAGATTATGCACAATTTGGTGATGTTGTGGTTTCTTTCCATCAGAAATGATTGCTCATTTTAAGTATGTGAATGCCTCGAAAGAAAGGTTCTAAGTAAATCCAGCAGGTGAATAAATCAAGAATTTTCTATGAGCTTAGAAGAAGTTCAGGCAAGCATTTTTCAATAACAAACATGCATTTCTATTAAAAAATATTGTATTTAGTAGGGAACATTTTAAATTACTTCATAAGCATATTTACCCCTGCTTGGTACTACTATAGTATTATTTGGCTTATTGTAAAAATTTGTCTAGGTGTATGTTTTCAAAAGTGTTGAGGTTTGTAATACTTTTTGGACAGTTTTGCGTGTGTGTGCGCGCGCACGTGCGCATATATATATATACACGTGTACATACATGTATGCTATATACCGTAGAGCACAGATGTGTGAATCAGGGCATTTAGTTTCTAGTTCCTTATCAATCTCTGATTCACTGTTGACGTTGGAGAAATTGTCTAACCTTTCTCTGTTAAACAGGGCAATTAGCCTTTTACCAGCCTGACAAGTATGGTATGAGTATTAATGATGCACACTATAAAAAGTGCTTCGTATACCTCAGAAAGAATCATTCTATAAACATAAACAAAGTTTTATAGTTTTTGAAATATGAAACTATATTAAACTCTCTGCAAAAATATTTTGCGTAGTAACGTTAAGCACTACTGCCATTTACAAAATAGCAGTCTGTTGCAGGATAGAGAGAGTCTCAGTGCATGTCCTGTAGGTGGGAACAGAAATTACTGGTGAAAGCCATAGACTTGTGCAGTTTCTGTGAGTTCTGGCCATGTATCAGGGTCTTTTTAAGTGCCTGAGGCTCAAATTTATTGGTTCTGTGGTCATGAGGGATATACTTTGGTTGAACTCTAGAGTGTACATGCTGCTATAGGTTTGCAATCTTTATCAAGTTAAACTTTGGCTAGGAATCTCTGCAGATTACCAAATGAGAGGAAAAAATGTTCCCCTAGCAGCTGTTAGACCTGACCTCCCTGATGAATAGTTAGGGTTAAACGAGTATTTTGGAAGTATCTTCTTAAGGTTGAGAAGTACTGATAATTTTCTAAGGTATAATTAGTGACTTCAGATAATTAGTTTGCCTCCAAAATGCGGTGGGACTTGTTTAAGGAGACCGTTCACTTACTCATAGAAAAGGTCTTAAATGATCAGAAGACTTCTTGGCAAGTTTTAGTCTACTAAGTTAACATATTCTTATGTCCTTTGGTCTGTCTCCTAATATATGTCTGACTTCATTCTTCCTGGCCCAATTGCTATAGGCTAGAAGCCAGAAATTGCTTTTATAGCCCTATGTTTCCTACCACTGTCTTCTCTCATCCTTTCGCAA